GCACCACTTAAGAACCAGCACCAGGAGCCTTCATTATGGCACCCTCCTGAAGTAAGGCAACATGAAGGGGCCTTGCAACTTATACCCACTCTCTGCCCTTTCAGTAACCACACTTCTGTTTGCACAATGACCAACAAATGTTTAAAACTGCTAATGATGTTAATATTAGTTTCTCTTTGAAAAGATAATTCAAAAGTTATTCATTTTGGAAGAACCATTCTTCGTTATAATCAGGTTAGCAATGAAAAAGGATAGTTTCCTGTGTAATAACTTTCCTGCTACTATCACTAAGAAATCTCTTCAGAGTTGAAAACCCTGAATTTAAGGAAACAAACAAGTGGAGTGACGCAAATCAACCATGGTGCAAGTGATATTAAGGGGACCCCAATTACAGCAAAAGTCTTTAATTACCTCCATCTGGGCTTCATTATACTGAAATGAGAGAGAATTGGGAGCGTAAATATGAGCACCAAGCAAGACATGGTATTTTGACATGAATTCTAGTGACTGTTACCATTTGTATAATGCAAGTGTATCCCATAACAAACACTTGCGAGAGGCACTCGAATCAAAACATAAATGAGAGGCATGGAGGTCTCGAGGTGCACAGAAGATCATGGAACAGATTTTCTACAATTTCTCACTCAGTGGCCAGTTGGGAGAAAATGGGGTGTAATTCTAAAGTCAGAAGCTGCCTTAAGAAAACTGTCAGAACTGTTTTCCTCATGCTTGCTGCAGGAAGCTAACATTGTCTGCTGTATCCTCATTACATTGCCTAGGAATGGTGATGGCTGGTTGGGCTATACTGGATTTGTCTTCCCTACTATGTAAGGTAATATCTACTATGAGAAAAAACATCAATGGAAAGCAGGCATTGTATTGGGTCCTGCTTATGGCAGGCCACAAGTTCTCCACTGTTAAACTTCAGAGGGATTGGAGAGAAACTTGCGGATCAGATTTAAAATAAGTGTTAATATTAAGTAGAAGTTTCAATATTTAAAGCGACTCAAAGATGAGTTAAATTTCTTAAGAATTTTATAGATTAATTTATAATTGGACAGAGGAGCTGTCAGGATCTTAGGCTAGAGTTAAGTTGAGGAGGGATGGAGGAGGCAAGGTGGGTGCAGGTATTGATGTCTACACTTGACTGACTTGGCACAGAATAGCACAGCAATGTCTGCCAAAAGCCCATACCAGGCTTGAGATTTCAACCAGATCTCAAATGACAATTTGTAAGTTACATGGCCAAATTATTTGCGTTCAGTTTGAATAGACTCCTGGAATATGTAATTGGGAATCATCAACCTGCCTTCTTGCCCTGATTGACTGGGGAACCCAGAAATGGACTGGTAATAGCATATCTCCAAAAAGAGCCACGACAAAGTTGGTTACTTCACCATCCTGACCTGAAAATTCTATTCTGGCGAAGGTCAGGTCCTTAACATGACATCATTTGTGTTTTAATTCAAGCTTGGCTTTTGTGGTTGAGAACTTGGTGCCATAATAATTCCATGAGCATCAGTCTCCACTCAAGATTCAACTCATTCACACTCACTCCAATTTACAAAAATCCAAACTCAACTCCACATGAACATTATAATGAATGGGGTCTTGGTGCAAAGTCAGCACATATCACGTGGTCCCTCAGCACCTATTTATGGGTATAAATGGGATAGTGGGAACACTTAGGAACACACTGGGAGTTTCGAAGATGAAATCAGACCTTCAGGTTGGAGTCAAAGGAAGATCTTTGTTGTTGTTGGACATCATCTCAGCTCCAGGACAAATCTACTTAGGGTAGTGTCCTAGGCCCAAGCATCTGCTTCATCAATGACGTTCCCTCCATCTTGAAGTCAGGTGTGCGGATCTTTGCTGATGATCATATAATGTTCATTATAGCATTCACTACTGTTCATATACTAAAGCAGTCCATGCCCAAATGTAGCAAGATCTGGACCATATCCAGGCTTGGGCTGACAAGTGACATCTGCGCCACACAAATGCCAGGCAATGACCATCTCCAACAAAAGAAATTATAACCATCGCCCCTTGACATTCAATGACATTACCATCATAAAATTCCTCACTGTCAACAACATTATGCTAAATTTTACCTGAAAATAAACAATATCAGCTGTCTAAATAGCTACAAGAGCTAAGTAACAGACTAGGAATTCTGCAGCGAGTAATTGATTCTCAGCTGCTACAGTTGTCCACCATCTACAGGGCACAAGTCAGCATTGTGACAGAATGCTCCCCACTTGCCTGTTTGAAAGCAGCTTCAACGTCAGTCAAGAACCTCAACACTATCCAAGACAAAGGAGCCACTTGACATCATGTGATTGACATTCATATGTACAAACTTTCATTCCCTCCACCATCGAAGCTCAGTAGCAACAATGTGTACCACTAAACGATGCATTGCAGAAATTTATTAAAGTTCCTGAGGCAGCACCTTCCAAACTCACAACTACTATTATTTAGAAGGACAAGGGCAGCAGATACATGAGACCACCAAGTAGTGCAATTTCCTCTTCAAGCCACTCAGACATGGGAATATATCACTATTCCCTTTGTGTAGCTAGGTCAAAATCCTAAAACTCACTCCATCATGGATATACCTACACCAAATGGACTGTAGTGGTTCAAATAGGCAGTGCCACTTTCTCAAGGGAAATGAAGGATAAGCAATATATGCTGGCCTGGCAAGTGTCATCCATGTGCTATGAAAGAGTAATTAAATAAAAACAGTCACATCGCCTTAGTCTCAGACAAACTGATATGGTTACTAAATCTAGGCTTAGTTTCCTCAGTTGGGAGAGGGGTAAACCTGTTGCTTGTTTTAAACCACCATCTTACTGAAAACATGTACAGACAGCAGATAAGGACTGCATGAAGTCCATCTATAAATCCAAGCCCTGTGTTAATCACTGAATAACTCATTTTTAATGCTGTGGTAGTGACTAGGTTTTGAGTGAGTTAAAGTGTCACATCAATCCCAGTTAAAGAAAATAAATATTGAATGGTAGTCAAGACCCTTGGACCCATATCCCAGCAAATACCAGCACTTAAACAAAAGGTAAGGGAGAATAATGTTGTTTGGTTTGCTTCTTGGCCATATAACAGGGGAGGTATTTTCCATCAAATGCATTTCTTCCCTCCCCACAACAATCTTCTCAAAATGATATTGTGAAACATCAAAGCATTTCCCAACCCACAAAGCGGTTTCTGGATAGCTCCAAGCATTGGTTTAGAAAACTGCACAGAATTTATTTCTAAAGAATTTGTTCAGAAGGACTGAAAGTGTTCCTACAAAGATGTTAGATAGGATATCCTCGGGATATTTTGCTGCGAAACCCCCAAGAAAGCTCAGTGAATAGAAAGGAATGCACTCTCAGCTCCAGGGTAACCAGTTCTCTGCTATTAAATTCGTCACACATGCCAAACTGGCCACTTTTCAACAGGCTTTGCAGTTTGTTAAGATACATCAGGAAAATTACCTTATCAGACAGCCAAGGGACAGGATGGTTTTAAAAAAGGCATAGAAGGTGCAGAAGGAGATAAATAGTCAGAACCAGAAGCTACCAAGAGGCAAAAAAACAAATCCAAGGTTTGGAGAGAGCCTAAACAAGAGAAAAAGAAGAACAAATAGGCACAGGACGAAAAACAATGTCTACTCAAAGATATAAGACCTAACTATAATGGACAATCATTAGAATTGCCTCTTTCGCCAAGGAATGAAAGATACTGAAAAAGTACATGCATTTAATGCTTGCTTTAGCTCTTATAGATTGTCAGCCACATTGCTCCAAAAAGCAGTTGGGAAGCAACCATAATCAATGTTTGTATACTCACTGCTGTCAATGGAAAATCTGCATTAATTAGCAGTTTTATTTCTGCTGCATTTACATTAGTTTGCTCACTGCTCAATAAAATCCCAATCTCTCGCCCACCCCTGTGATTTCATCACACATAAAAAGAAAAAAAACTTTGGAAATCTGAACAAAAATTATGCAAAGTATGTAAAAACAGAAGACAGTTTAACATTTCATGCATATTGCTACATTTATCTGATGAAGGGTCCATACCATGTTTTCAGATGCTGTGAGATTTGCTGCGCATTTGCATTATTTCTGTTTTTACATTAATTATATATTCTATATAATAATCCCTTGAGTCAAGTAAATCTTTGGCTCTTTGACTGTTAAATACAGATTTTCCATTTGCGATATATTGTGGCCTGAGACAATAGTGGACTTTGCAACTTCTTCAGTTGTTGTTCAGAAACATTAAAAAGAACCAAATGCTAAAATAAGTCACACAATTTCTATGATTATTCTTAAGCCATCAGCTGGCCCCATTGGATCTAAACAAAACACACCGGTACGTTGACACATTTGGCACTATACAAGGTCATAACTTCAATTCAATGGTATTTTATAGCAAAAACGATTTATCTTTAATAATTTACTGACAGCTTGAGTAGATGTACAAGCTCCATTTTGTTTCCTTAGAGTTTTCCACTTTTCCCTTGGAAGTGGCATTCCTGGCTGAATTATGTCTCTCCAAGTACAGGACATTCTCTGCTAATTCTCAATCATTTGGCCTCGCTTAATGTTTGAGTCATGATGCTTCATGTTTGAGCCATGACACTTGATGTTAATACATTTATTGACTGTAGAGGCTGCCTGACATCGATGCACGAGTACATTTCAGCAGGACCAATCTGAGCCTCATTGTAATGTCAATGCTCTGACTGGATTAACTCCAGGATACTTATAATTCCACACTGAATTAGAAACAATAGTGGTCTCCTCTATTTTCAATACACCATAAAACTCCAATGGCAGACAAACTTGAATCTGTAGCTTAATAGCTTAGGCTTTCAGATCAGAATAATGCTTGTGTTAATTGGTTTGAAATAAATAGTTTAATAGAAACATTAAAATAATGCCAATTAGAAAAGTTTAGCTAAAGATTTATTACAGAAAGGCATGGACTTCATACTATCATTTTATTGAACCATTTGTGCCATGTTTATAATTGGCCTCATCAGACAGGAACAAATCAAACTAAAATCTCATTTTGTTTGAAATCAGGTGGTGATGGTGTACTGATATTGTTGTTGGACTAGTATTCCACAGAACAAGGCAATCCTCTGGGGACCCAGGTTCGAATCACATAGAGGCAAATGGGGAAATTTTAATTCAAATAAAAAATCTGAAGTTAATAGTTTAATGATGACTGTAAGGTGATTGTTTAATAAACCCATCTGGTTCACTGTGTCCTTTAAGGAAGGAAAATTGCTGTCCTTATATATGACTCCAGACCACAGCAGTGCGGTCGATTCTTAACTGCTTTCTGAAACGGCCTTGAAAGCCACTCAGTTTTGTCAAACAGCTTAAAAAAAGTCAGAAAATGAATGAAACTGTCAACCAACGACAGGAAACTCTGCCCTGTTGATCCTGAAAAGTCCTCCTTACCAATATCTGGTGCCAAATTTAGGAGACCTTCCTCATCAAGCAGCAACCTGACAGTCATACTCATGGAATCATACCATACAGACCACATCCCAAATAACACCACCATAATTAATGAGAACGGCCTTCCCACCAGCAGGACAGTCCTAGCAGATGTGGCTGCACAGGGGTATGCAGTCAGGAAGGAGCTGCTCTTAGAGTCCGCAACATTGACACTGGACCCCACAGCATCAAAACAAACATGAGTGAGCAAATCTCTTTTTAATTATCATATACTGCCATCTTTTAGCTGATGAACCAGCGCTCCTCCAGGACGAACACTATTTCAAGGATGCACTGAGGGTGGCAACGGCACACAATGTACTCTTGGTGGGCAAAGTCAATGTCTACCAGCTAGAATGGCTCAGCAGCACCACTTACTGACTTTGCTGGGTGAGTCCTAAAGGGCTTGGCTGCTGACTGGATCTATGAGAACCTGCTTACTAACGCCCAGTTTGTATTCTGCCAGCTCCTGATCTCATTAAAAACTTGGACCTAACATAGTTAAATGAGTGTAACTCCAGAGGTGAGGTGAGAGTGGCTGCTGTTGACATCAAGGCAACATTTGACCAAGTATGGAACCAAGGGGCCCTAGCAAAATGGAACCGACAGGAATCATAGGGAAGACTCTGTGCTGGTTGGGGCTCTACTCAACACAAATGACTGTGGCTGTTGGAGATCAACCACCTTCTCTCCAGGACATCACTTCAGGAGTTCTTCAGGGCAATGTCCTAAGTCAAATATCTTCAGCTGTTTCGACGACCTCCTCTCCATCACAAGGTCAGAAGCAGTTGATTGCTGATGACTGCACATGTTAAGCACCATGTGTGACTCCTCAGATGCTGAAGCAGTCCATGACCAAATGCACAAGACATGGACAATGTCTAGGCTTGGGCTGACATGTGGCATTGCACATCTGCACCGCACACAGTGGCAGACAACATTCATTTCCAACAAATGAGAAGTGATTTTTTAAAACCAGAGCATTGCCTGGGCTGGAGAGTCTTTGTTATGAAAAAAGGTTGGAGAGACTGGTTGTTTTTCTTGGAGCAGAGGAGGCAGAGGGAGGACATGATTGTGATGTATCAAATTATAAGGAGCATAGGTAGACAGGGAGGAACTTTTCAATGGTGTAGGGATCAATGATTGGGGGGTAGGTAGGAGGTTTAGAGAGGATGTAAGGAAAACCTATTTCACTCAGAGGGTGATGGGAATGTGGAATTCACTGCTTGTAAAAGTGGTAGAGGCAGAAACCCTTATAACATTTAAATAGTATACAGATGCACACTTGCAAGGCATAAAAGGCTATTGGCCACGTGCTGATAATTAGGATTGGACCAGTTAAGTTATTGTTTTTGACCAGCCCAAACTTGTCAGGCTGAAGGGTCTTTTTCTCTGTAGATGTATATGCCTACGACTAGCCATTACACCTTGACATTCAATGGTCTCACCATCAGTGAATCCCCAGCTATCAACATCCTCAGGCTCACCATCGAACAGAAACTGAACAGTAAACGGTCTATAAATAGAATGGTTACAACAGCAAGTCAAAGGCTAGAAATGCTGCATGGAAAGCTCACATCCTGATTTCCTGATTCCTGTCTATTATCTAAAAGGCACAAGTCAAAAATGTGATGGAATACCCCACCTGCCTCGACAAGTGCAGCTTCAACACTCAAGAAGAACAACATCATCCGAGATAAAGCACCCTATTTGATTGGTACCATATCCACTTGCTCCACTACTGACACACAGTAGCACCAGTGTGTACATGGTACACAGCAGAAGTTTATCACGGTTCCACAGACAGTACCTTTCAAACCTATGATCACAACCATCCAGAAGGACAAGAACAGCAGACAGATGGGAATGTCACCACCTACAATTTCTCCTCCAACCCATTCATTATTCTGAACTGGAAATATATTGCATTTCCTTCAATTTTGCTGGGTCAAAATCCTGGACCTCCCTCCCAACAGCATTGTAGGTCTACCTTCATCAGATAGACTGCAGCTGTTCAAGAAGGCATTTCACCACTGCCCTCTCAACAGCAATTAGAGATGGGCAAATAAATGCTGGTCATTAAATTTGGCCTATCAAGCTTGCCTCTCCTGAATGAATTAAAAAAAGATATCAGTGATGCAAACTCTTTTACATTTAGCATCAATTTTAGTTGTTTACAATAAACACAAAGCACAAGATAATGCATGTTAACTCAAAAAGGTAGCACAGAATGGGAGCCATCTCCTTCAAAACATTATATTGTGATTAGTGATTGACATTGCAATGTAAAGCCAATTAGAAGTCACAGTGCAGATATGTTAACTTACTGCTGGCTTGGATGGGCTGGACCGAGGATTGGACTCTGGGTTCTTGCTCACCCATTGATTGATGAGGTCACAGACACCCACTTTCAGCCCATCAGTATCCTGGAAAAAAAAACATTAGATTGGATTAGCAAACAGAGGGAAAACGTTATTTATCAAACCAAGTACTGAATAATTCATCACAAAGGTTTATGTAACATCTCTGAGCACAATTCAAAATTGCCCTGGTGTACAATATTTCTGACAATCACTTTACAATTTTCAATCATTCTTTGGTGAAAATAAATTGCCAGTGTGTTCTAAGAAAATTGTACAGGCCACCATTGGCTTTTCTGTCTGTTTCTAGCCAAGGATTTGGTAAAATCTAACAAAAAGCTCATCAGAATCTGTGCGCAGGGAAAATAGAATAAACGGTGACACATTCTCCCAACAGATCAATCTTGCCTGACAAAAGCACATTTCCTCTGACTATTCACTGAGACTGGAACTGCTAGGGACATATCCTATTAATATGACAGTGATTTGACATTAATGGGCCAGTTACAGAGAATCAATAAGTTTGAAAGAGGAAGTCCATTACTAATTTGTTTGAAAGCACACTGGATTTTTTCTTGGGTAATAACAACCTTTGCACAGAGGCATAATGCTGACAAAATGCCCCCAGATGCTTCAGAGGCACATGGGAAAATGGATTCTATACTACAAAAAGACAGTTTAAGCAAGGTTACCAAAATCCTGTTGAAGAGGCAAGTTTTAGGCGAAGACACAATGAAGGAGAACATTGACAGACAGAGAGGTTTTGTGAGGGAATTTCAGGGAATGGAATCAGGATTACCTAAGGCCTGGCCAGCAACAATGGAAAAAAAGGTAAGGCAAATTGATAAAGAGGCAGAAGTTAGATGAGGGGAGTTTGTGGGGGTATGGGGCAGTGGCCATTTGTATTGCTGTCTGAGATTATGGTAATGGAGAGAACAGGGTCATAAATGGATTATGACAGGAGGATAAGAACCTATTGAAATTTGAGGATCAGGAGCCTATATAGATCAGTAAAAGTGGAAATAATGAGTAAGCTGGACCTGGTTCAGGATAAAATCTGGGCTTAGAGATGGAGACGGCATGGCATAGAAAGTAGAGCCCAAGCCGACAGGATATTGAAACTGCAAACAATCTCAGATACCACAGGTCAATGGTTCTGGATGGAAATGGTGTCGATTGGAAGATTACAACTGAATCCAGTGTTTTTTTTGTCCACGTTTAGTTGGATGTGCAGTCTGCCACCACTGAAGAAATAGAACAATTTAGAAACCTGGTGAATAAGTGGAACAGGCAGTGCCCGAGTTTTCATCATGGATGCTCTTCTCCAAAGCGACCGCTCCTGAAGGGTTAAAGGAGGTTGAAATGGAGACTAAGTTGATATTTGAAAAAAAGGGTTTCAGGTTTAAATTGGCATTTCAAATGATCCTACAACAGTATGTGGTATTGGCAGATGTCAACAACTGAGCAGAGTGGATGTGGCAAAGGCTATGTGTTCCAATAATTTCTCAGTGGCAGAGCTGAAGACTGTACTTCAAGACCAGTCACATCTCTAGTTAAATTGTTCAGGTGAACAATTTGTGAATACTGATACTTGCCCAATAAAGTGGAATGTGGCCCAGGTATGTCCTGTCTATTAAAATAAAAGGACAAATTCAATTTAACAATTACCACTCCATTCTCCCCTGTAATCTGTTAACCACTGTCCACTTTGTGTTCCACAAGGAACATCTGGTTCCAATTTCTTTACAAGTGTGATCCAAACATTGAGAAAGGAGCTTAACTCCAAAGGTGAGGTGAGAGTGACTGCCCTTAATTTTAAGGCAGTTAGCTGATCATGTATGACATCTTGTAAGTTGATGTTAATGAAAATTAGGTGTAAAACTCTCGAATGGCTGGAGTCATTCTTAATGCCAAGGCTGCTGGACGATAACCATCTCAGTCCCAGAACATCGCTGTAGCAGTTCCTCAGGGCAATGTCCTCAGTACAACTATCTTCAGCAATTAAATCAATAACCTCCCTTCAACAAAGGTTCATAAGTCAGGAGTTTTGCTGATCACCTCAGAGAGTTCAGCTCTATTTGCAATTCCTCTGATAATGAAAAGATCAAATGCTGGAGATCACAGTGGGTCAGACAGCATCCATGGAGGGACAGCAAGCTAATGTTTTGAGTATAAATGACTCTTCAGAGTCTTCACTTCTGAAGAAGGGTCATCTAGACTCAAAACTTTAGCTTGCTCTCTCTCCGTGGATGCTGTCTGACCCGCAGTGATCTCCAGCACTGATTGTTTTCAGTACAGATTCCAGCATCTGCCGTAATTTACTCCTCTGATAATGATACAGTCATGTAGGTATGCAGCAAGACAATATCCAGGAAACAAAACAGAAGTTGCTGGAAAAGCTCAGCAGGTCTGGCAGCATCTGTGAAGGAAAAAACAGAGTTAACATTTCAGGTCTGGTGACCTTTTAGTTCTGAGGAAGGGTCACCGGACCCGAAACGTTAACTCTGTTTTTCCCTTCACACATGCTGCCAGACCTGCTGAGCTTTTCCAGCAACTTCTGTTTTGTTTCCTGGTTTACAGCATCTGCAGTTCTTTTTTTTTATTAAGACAATATCCAGGCTTGAAATAATAGGATTTAAGTAACATCAGCATCACACCTATACCAGGCAATGATCATCTCCAACAAGAGACAATCTAACCATCTCTCTTGACATACAACACCATTATGAAAATAAAGTCCCCACTACTCTCTCCTTTCTGTAGTAATTCTATCTCCCCACGACCTGCCCTTTTAACTACCTACCTAAGGAGTTGAGAAAGAATCAGGTCACGACCAGGAACCACATGGTGGGAGCTGAACGCGTAGACCGTGTCCTGTGGCGACAGCAGATCGAGCGTGGGCTGGTGAGAGCGGGCCGGTGGGGGGGCAGCAGAGAGAACGGGCCGGTGAGGGGGCAGCAGAGAGAACAGGCCGGTGAGGGGGCAGCAGTGAGAGTGGGCTGGTGAGGAGGCAGCATGGAGAGGTGGCCTAGTAATTGGAGCGGAGCCTGCACCATTTTGGAGGTAGGAGTTGGGACTCTGAGATCTGGACTTGCTTTTTCTTGTGTACCTTTTGGCTCTGTTAAATCTTTAATTCTGGTTTTGTAACCAAGTGGGCACCAGTGAATGGTGACTTTGTGTACTTTTCGCTGTACTTATGTATTCTTATACTTGGTACAAATGACAAATAAATAAATCTAAACCTCAGTAACATCTTGGGGTTACCACTGACCAGAAACCAAACTGGGTTAATTACATAAATTTTGTGCCTGCACGAGCAAGTCAGAGGCTAGCTATTCTACAGCAAGTAAATCATTCCTGAATTCCCGAAACCTGTCCACCATCATGAGGCACAAGGCAGGAGTAAGAAGGAATACTCTCTCAACATCTGAATGATTGCAGCTCCAACAACACTGAAGCAGACAGCTTGAGTGGAATTGCATCCACCACTTTAAGTACTTAGCTTCTCCACAATCTGTATGCAATGGCAGCAGTGTATACCATCTACAAGATGCACTGCAACAATTTTCCACTGTTTCTTCAGCAATACCTTCCAAACCCAGAGTCTCTACCACCTAGACACACAAGGACATCAAGCGCATGGCAACACAATAATAAAGTAAATTAACAAAACCAGCATGAAAAGATACCAAGAGAGTTAAAGGAGGAATGCATTTACATAGAGACTGGTCATGTATCTTACATCTTGTGTTCCACTGAACCTCCTGTCATTTTCCTCATCTAAATCTATGCCTGGAATCATATAGTTCCTTCCTCTCCTCTTAATTTGTCAAGTCTGCTGAAGAATTATGTCAGAAAAGTGCCATTAGTATTCTAATTCTACCTCATTTTCAAGTCTGACACACTCAGATCTGAATGACCTTTTGATTTTTTCGTTACATTGATTTATCTTGTTGCTTGATATACTTGTATGATGCATCAAGCAGAATAAACGATAATGCGAAAAGTCTGGAACTTAAAACATACATTGAATGAATAATACATTTGGTTTACAGATTCAATAACTGAACTTTAAATTTTCCTTCGTTTGGGAGATCAATGCTTGCACAGCAACTTGTAAATAAAATACAAGACAGCTGATTTGTGGCAGAGAGCTTCACATCTGTGTTTTATGGAAGCATTTACAGTTTAAGAATACTTGAAATGATTCCTTGGCTAACGTGGGAACAGGTGACAGGTAGTTGTGATATGCCTGAGTATTTTATTGCTGCTATTCCTAATGAGGAAGTGTGGGGAGATCTTGTAGTGCACTGCCAGTATCCCTGTCTCTGAGACAGAAAGCCAGGTTTGAATCTGACTCCAGATCATGATGGCCAAGGAAGGTGCGAATATGATGTGGCCACACAGGTAAAGTATCAAATCATTCCAAGTGCACCAAGGGCAGGAAATATTACTGGCCAGCCATTGGACAAAAAAAAATTGGAAAATGTTATCTTTTTATCATGACTATCCATCGCTCCAAATACACTTCCCAACTGATCTGTAACACAACATACCCTCAATGAAGAAATAAATTTTTTAAAATTTGTATATTAATCTCCACTGGACATCTAATGCCCATATAAGAGCAGATTGGTTGTTTCCATTCACTGCAGCTTTCGCAGAGTTTTTTGAAAGGAAGCCCATTTGTGGTGCTGGCTGTGACACTTAATGGAGATACAGGATATGACAGCTGACGCAGACTTGGATTTTAAACATTCAGCTGGAAGACATCCCTCAGTGTCATAGGAGAGATTGGGTTTCCAGTTCACTCAACTACATATGTCAAGCTAAGTAGATCAGTGTGCACTTGTGGATGATGGTCCAATTTGATGGAGAAGTGACGAATATAGTATCTTACCTTACATGGTGTCCCTTTGGCAACTGAATAACCTGCAACATCGCCTGATTCCCACAGGCTCTTCTTGGTGGCAACATCCTCTGGTAGATTCGGCATGTCCAACGACGTGTGTCTGAGTGACTTTGTGGTGCTCTGTTTGTGCGTGTGAGTCAGATACAGTTCAATATTATTAAATGAAAGCAAACTAGCAATGATTTACAAAGTAGCATCAAAGAATGAATACACCACCCCTATGTAATGAGGCAGGCAGTTCCTATTGATACTCATAGCATTGGTTCAGACACAATTTTCTCTTGAGCAAAATATTAGATAATTGGTATCATTAGAATGCACTCCAGAAAAGACAAAGGGGAAGAAAGAAATTTGGTACAGAAAGATGAACAAATACAATGTTAAGTTCTTGTTTGAAAAGGGAATTGAAAATGGCTCACCAACAATTTAGTAACAAGCTTTCAGTTTTACACAGAATTACTAAAGAATTACTTGTGTACTACATCTCCATTTCATAAGTGATTCATTGAGTGTAAAGCATTTGGGATATAGAGGTCATGACATATTCGAACATCCTCTTTTGCCTTTTTCTAATCATTTCCATATGTTTTCAGGATTTACCCACTCACAATTGTGAATGCTAATGGTATTACAGTTGGATTTGTGTGGGTGGGGAAGTGTACTGACTCAAATCTGAGAGCACTGTTGAATTCAAATCAGGATAAATTAGTAACACAGTATTTAATGAGCTGACAATGTGACGGAACTGCAATAATGACAGTAACCCTTATGCCAGTGTTAGCTGGGATAAGATATTGACCCCAGTGACGGAACTGAAGTAACCTCAGCTGAATTACAATTATTACCATCAGACGCATTTCGGTTGCTGCAGCCATAACATTTTATCTATAGAGTTGTTAAATTTAATGTAATTTAATCTAATCAAGATTTGTACGTACTAAGGCAAGGATTTTTAATAGTAGTCAAATGGAGCACTTTCTATTCCAGGATTAGCACCAAACATGCCCAAGTCAGATATTGAGTGTTTGGACAGAAAGAAAATCTATGTCTAATGTCAACTCTGCTTGTTTTCAAAAGGAAATTGGAAAAGCACTGAATGGAAAAGAAAACTTAGTGGTTTATAGGGAAAGCACAGGGACGTGGAATGAAATAGATTGCTTTTGCAGATGGGTTTCAAAAACTCAATGGGCTGAATAGCCTCCTCAATGTTGCAAGAATTCTATACTCTGCACGAACAATGTGCCAGCCTAACACAGAACAGTTATCTTTTCCGTATGAACATAGCATTTTTATGTCATACTGTGGGTCCTTATGAGAATGAAAACATTCTAAACACCAAAAAATGTGGTTCTCAAGTAATACAAAATTAGATGCAGATCTTGAACTATAACCCCATCCTTAATAGGAAGTAGCTCAAGACTTGCCTAAGTTCATTTCATGCAGAGTCTGCACTGCTAGCACAGAGGAGACTTGTATTATGTCAATCTATGATTGATTCATATCTGGATACAGGTGATGTATTTCTACTCCTTTGAACAATCAGGCTTAGATCTTCTTGAGCATCTGATTATGTTATTGACGCACTTAGATGTCAGGAATTCTAGGAAATTTTAACTCTTCTGCTATGGCAAAATGACAACGGTAACAGACACCTGTTACCAATTAAATCAGCTCCTTCCATCATGAAATTATGTCATCTGGAATATTAACCTTTAATTCCATTGGTTGAATTGAAATCTGGGTTGTTTGCTTAAAAACACAACCTTTAAATGAGCTAATATACTGTCCTAAAATGGTTTTGCAGAAGACACCTCATTTGAAAGACGGTCAAGATCCACAGAGAATTACAATTTAGATGTCTAGATAACACTGTAAGGGACTGATTTGCTATTAAAAACCAACAATAAATAACAGATTGTGCATTTGCAGGAATGGCCAGAGACAAAAAGAAACTTACAGAAATTCATTGCGTGAAAAGAGTTGCTGAAGACCACGCCCCCCAACCCCACCCATCGCCCTCTTTCAATGAAGTCTTGATAGCTTGACCATGGAAAATCAAAACCTCTGAATTAACATGGATCTTAACTCTTTATGTGTTACCTGTCAGCTATCACATGACCAAAACTTCTCCATGCAAAAACTTAGGTGGGTAAAATTGTCTGTTCATTACAGAAGGCAGTAACAGCAACAAGACCAACAGAACGTAATAAAAGGATGGTTCTCTCTCAGCAGTTTCTCAAGCTCAGATCCTATCTCTGTTACATGTTGAAAAGCTTGAAACACATCACCAACATACAGAATTTTAAAATGAATGGAACTCCAAGAGACATAACGCTCATTCTGGAAAACGACCGAAAATATTCTGGCAAAGTATGGGGTTCTTTAGGCAAGTCTAAGTGAACAACTTTTAAGGGGCAATTATGGCAATCAATGGAGTTGTACGCTCCTCCTGTCAGAAATGGGAAATTAGGGAACAGTTGACTGTCCCTAGAGACTATGTCTGCAGGAGGTGTGTTTGGATCCATATCATATCAGACTATTTGGATTGGCTGGAGAGGCAGTTAGAGTCACTGAAGAGCATACACGAGACAGTGTGATGGTTAGCAGATTTAGAGAGATTGTTACACTGCATGTTCAGTCAGATAGATGGGTGACTGTCAGTCGAGGTTGAAAGGTAGTTCAAGTGTTTCCTGTGGCTATTCCTCTCGCAAACAGATATACCATTTTGGGTACTGTTGAGGAAGATAGTCTCTCAGAGGAAAACAGAAATAGCAGCCAGATCTTGGGCACCAAGAATGAAACTTAGGTTAAACGGGGTTTGTCAAGATTTGAAAGAATAATTGTTATAGGAGACTGTCCTATCAGGGGCACAGGCAGGAGATTCTGCGGCAGTGATCAAGAATTCAGCATGGTATGTTGCCTCCCTAATGCAAGGATCAAGGACGTCTCAAAACAGTTACAGCAAATTGTCAAACGGGAGAGTGAGAAGCCGGAAGTTGTTGTACACGTTGGTAAGAATGACATAATTTGGGGGGGTGGGGTATCGGTGGGGTGGTGGGGGGATCCCTAAATTGTACTGGCAATAGAAAGACAGATGAGGACGGTTCTGAATTTAAAAAAAACAGCAAGTTAATTAGAAAAGATGGGCAAGAACAAATCAGAGTACAGGGTAGCTCTGAAGAATTAAACTCCATTTATATCAATGTAAGAAGTCTTACAGGTAAGGCAAATGAACTCAGGGCATGTATGGAGCCTGGGACTGGGACATCATAGCCATTATAGAAACATGGCTGAAGGAGGGACAGGACTGGCAGCTCAATGTTCTGGGGTTTATGTGCATAGGAAGGATAGAAAGGGAGGCAAGATGTTTTTCATTAAGGAAAACGTTACTGCTGTACTTAGAGAGAATATTTCTGAGGGGTCATCCAGTGAAGTTATATGGGTGGAACCCACTTTGATGGGATCGTATACTATAGGTCCCCAGCAGTCAGAGGGAAATTGAGGAACAAATATGTAGAGAATATGAGTTGTAATAGTAGGGAATTTAAACTTTTCAAACATAGACTGGGACTGCCATAGTGTTAAGGGCTTGGATGGTGAGGAATTTGTAAAATGTGTTCAAGAAAATTTTCTTTATCAATATGGAGATGTACCTTCTGCAGAGGAGCAAAACTTGACCTTCACTTGGGAAATAAGGCAGGGCATATGACTGAAGTGTTAGTGGGGGAGCACTGTGTGAGCAGTGATCATAATTCTATCAGTTTAAAACATTTATGGAAAAGGGCAGACCTTGTATGGAAGTTAAAGTTCTTAATTGGCATATGGCAAATTTTGATTGTGTTAAATAGGATCTTTCAAGGGTTGATTGGATTCGCCTGTTCACAGGTAAAGGGATGACTGGCAAGTGGGAGGCTTTCAAAAGTGAGAAAACAAGAGTTCAGAGGCATTATATTCCTGCTCAGACCATTGAGGATAGGAGTTGGGATGTCGTGTTGAGGTTGTACAGGGTGTTGGTGAGGCCACTTTCGGAGTACTGTGTACAGTTCTGGTCCCCATGCTATAGGAAGGGTATTATTAAATTGGAGCGGGTTCAGAAAAGAGCTACCGTAATGTTACCGGGACTGGAAGGTTTGAGTTAGAAGGATAGGCTGGGACTTTTATCACTGGAGCGTAGAGGAAGTGCCAGAGGAAGTGGCAGATGCAAGTACAGTTACAACATTTGAAAGACATTTGGATAGTAAATGAATACGAAAAGTTTAGAGGGATATGGGCCAAATACAGGCAATTGGGACTAGTTTAGTTTGGGAAACTCGGTCAGCATGGACAAGTTGGACTGAAGGGTCTGTTTTCGTGCTGTTTTACTCTGTAACTGAAATTGTCTCCAGAAGAACAACCAGCTTATACCAGTCAAAACACCAGTGGCTTTTCACATTACTCAAGCAATCTTAGAGCACAACTGATTTCACTCATGGTCAGTAACCTCTCCTATTGCAGGTCACCCCTCCCCACCCTACCATGTAACTTGTTTAGTTGGCTTGCTGGTATGTGGATGTCATTGGATTTGGGATGTTTATTCTTTTAATGGAGTGTTTTTTTAAAATAATGAAACAAATTATTAACTTGCTAATTCATGAGATCTAGCTGGCTCGTTTCTTCGCTGCTTTACACATGGTCAAATATATATTGAGTTGAAAAAAGCACATACTTTCAAAAATTCAAAACCTGTTGTAACTAGCTGAGGAGTGAAGAGAGAGGCATTTCTTCAGCTCTCTGAGCCTTGGTGATAACATTTCAAAACACTGCTCCTTTATTGACAAATTCTTCTATATTCATAGAATCCCTACAGTGTGGAAGTGGGCCATTTGGCCCATCAAGTTCACACTGACCCTCCGAAGAGAATCCCACCCAAACCCACCCCATCCCGATAACCCAGCATTTCCCATTGCTAATCCACTTAACATACACAGCCCTGGACACTATGGGCAATTTAGCACGGCCAATCCACCTAACCTGCACGTTTTTGGATTGTGGGAGGGAACAGGAGCACCCAGAGGAAACCCACACAGACGTGGGGAGAATGTGCAAACTCCACAGAGACAGTCGCCTGAGTGTGGAATCAAACCTGGGTCCCTGGCACTGTGAGGCAGCAGTGCTAACCACTGAGTCACCATGGCACCCCAAATATTGATAACTAAATAGCAAATAACACAATAAGCTTTAACTCATTATGGCAATGAATAGTAAAAGTTACACCAGTACTGGCAACTTCAGTCACTGTGCAATCTGAGAATTATTTATTGGGAGGGAGGGGCTGGAAGCGAGAATAATGACAAGTTTTCTTGTCTAAATCCTAAGCCCTGGTCCTACAGTGACAGCAAAGGCCAGTCAGGTGACGGTCCAAAACCTACAGGTGACTTTCCAAAAGGACAAGGCAAAATGGATTTTAACAAAAAAGGTGCATACACAGCTACGATTCTTCCAACAATTCCATTCTAAGAGAACAAGGTCTATGTATGACAATTGAAATATATGCCTGCAGCTGTGCAGTGAGTAAATTGTTTTACCTCAATGGCACTGGTGTACTGCTCCAATCGTTCATCAATCTTTGATATGTTAGTTATGGGCTGCATCTTTTTAATACTGTTACTGTAATTTAAAAGACAGTCAACTAAAATTATATTTTCAAAACACTACTTTGAAAAGTTACACATTGAAACATCACAAGGCAAAGCATTCTTCCAACTTTTAGCCTTATAGAGAGATCCCAGTCAGAAACATTAGAATAATTATACATTTATGCAACAAATAAGTAACATTTACTTATATAATACCTTTGATACAGGCAAAATACCACAAAGTGCTTTAAGAGGTGTGAAGAAACATGGACAACAAATCAAACCCTAAGCTAAGGAGGAGTAACCAAACCCTGTCATAAAATCTCAGATTTTCAAAGGGAGGTATGCAAAAAAAGGTGGTGAAGGAGTGTACAAGTCTGGGGAGGGAACTATGAAGCGTGGAGCCTTAATGTTTATATCACAGTTGCCAATAGTGGACAATATATGTAGCAAATAAATAGGCCATAATTACAAAAAAACAGATCAACTGGGGGAAGAGAGGGTAATTGTACACATGAAGGAAGTTGGTTGATCATGTGGTTAATGGAAATGGATTCAAGAGGGTTGGAAGATTGTCTTATGGATTAATTGGGCCTCAAAAAGAGTGTATGCGGGGGGGAAACAGGGATAGAAATGAGAGAAAAAGGTAGAGGCCCAGAGTTGGGATTAGACGGAGATGATTTGGCATGCTATAAAAGCATAACAGAAAAGCAGAAGAAGTTGCTCAACATCCTGCTTCTTGTTGATAAAATAAAATACGTTCTTAAAGAAGAGTGTGGTGGAAGCAGGTGCCAGCATGTTAAGCAGGCAGTTTGACTTGGATGAAAAGAGATAGGTGTATCTTTTTATTCTAGAATGATTCTAGAGCATCGTGAGCAATACTGGGAGAGGAGAACAAGGCTTGGTAGAGCTGATGTAGGGCAGTCAACACGATCAACAAAAGAACAAGTCGATTTCATGTAGAGTTATTCAGGTTTTTGCCCCCAATGCCTCAGACTTGATACAGTGAACTTGGAACTTTGTCAGTGGAATGACACTGAAGAGTTGAAGTTTGAACAGAGGCAAGGGCATTAAAGGAGAAGGAAAGAGAATGAGTTAGCAATTGCAGGGTACTTAGGTAAATAAAGGGTCAAAGTTTGATCAGTTGGGGTGTTGAAGGTGATATGTATTTTCCAGGTAAACAGATGGATATGAGATTAAAGCATTTAAAGGAAAATTCGGTTGTGAAGGATACAAGAAAGTGATTGTCGATGATCTTATCAGAGATCAGATCTGGAGGAATATCTGAGCAGGAAGAAGGACTGGGGGATAAGCTGAGAAACAAAGAGCCAAGAGCGAGTGAAGGCAACTTCAATTGTGGACAAAGAGGATGATCTGAGGAACAATGTTGCTGCAGCAACTTTTCTCACCTCTTCTTCAGTGAGCGGTTCAACGATTCTGTCCTTTCACTAATCTGGAAAGCAGAAAGACAGCAGAGTTTAGTCTCACAGTTTAAGCGCAACACAAGCTTTCCTGCCAACTTTGACTCTAGCCAAGGCTTTTCATCCTGTGAAACAGATTACGATACTCATTTGCTGTTACCATGGATAATCCTCTGGCTTAACTCAGCCTAATGTCACTAAACAAGATGACACAAGAGAAGAAAGAGAAAGTCTCAGAGTGAACTAAGTGAGAAATTTTAAGATTTTACAAAAATGTCAAATTGTCCATAAATAAATTAAATCTGCAGCATTAGAAGTTATTTGTTAGAATGCATTTTTAAGGGAATACTAGTGACCGGCATATGTTGCTTATCGAAGGTTTTTTTCAGATAGAAAGCATAAGCACTTCTTTCAAAAGACATAAACATAGGAAACCATTTTTAAAGAAGCTGCAGTCTGTTTCCTTAAAATACATGTTAGGTTTGTT